ATTTTTATCTAAAGAAATTTGTAAGTTAATTTTTATTATATCATTATATTAATATCTATTGTAACCATATATTTTGAATTATTAATTATCATCCTCTATTGACAGCAATTGTAGGAATTGTCATGGACAAACTCTCAAAACAATTTGTCTCAACAAGGAATGAAAATTTTTAAAAAAAAATCATTGATTTCATTATTGTTGATGAAAAGTATATACGACACTTTATTACTATTATTAAATTAAATAAATTAGTAGCTACAACAAAAAATAATACATATGCATTTAATTAATTTAGAATTAGATGTCTATAATTCTTTATTTAAAAAAAATTATTCATTATAAAAAAAATTTAAAAGAAATATAATTTTATTAGTTATATTATCTTTATTTTCTACAATTCAAAGATTAATTCCTTACCTTCAAATTTATTAATTTATTATATTCACTAGATTGTTCATTGTCTTCTTTTTACATTATATTGTAATTAAATATCAAAGTTATAATAAAAACATGTTATATATATTTATTTACCAAGTATTTTATACAAATATAATAAATATTAATATTTTGTTCAATACTTTCACATGATAACCTACGACACGCATCTCACAACACATGAAACATGTAGGCGAAAAACTACCACTACTCAAAAATGCTAAGTGAAAATATTGTAAATTGCAATGTTTGTATTTTCAGTGGCTTGGAATAAATTTTTGCTTCAAACTGTTGAATAACCAAACACTTTTTTTAGCATTTTGATCTTTGGGTTACATCATATTTACCAATCGTCTAATAACTTTGGGTTACATTATAATTAAAAAATTTAAATTTTTACTACTTCATCTAAATTCCTTAAATTAGGAAGTTCTTTATTCATAATAATTTATTCAACAATAATGGTTGAACTAAATGAACACTGAGCAAAACACCTAAAGGACTGATACCATTGATTCATTCATTGAACTTGTATATATATGCATTCATTAAATATATCATATACTATGAGTTACATATTTAAATAAACAAATTTAACTTTAAATTACTTATGTATGAACTTCTCATATATAATCTTGCATTAATATACTTTCAAATATTTATTTAATTATAAATATTGTGCATTAACTCATTTGCGCAATGCACGTACGTCTAAAACTAGTGAAATAGTAAGAATAAAAATACCTTTTTATCTCCTAATAATATATCACATAAGAATAAAAAAACATCCAGCATGCCATGGTGTACCACATCCCAATGGCTTAATGACTTGATGAACATGAATGTACCAGCTTTCTTTTATTGGGGAAACATTTTTTATGGAATCAAATTGAGAATTAATAAATGATGGAGTAGAGCGAGGTGAAGATGGCGTTATATGTGAAAGAAAACATATCAATGATGTGAAAAAAAAATGAATTAATTAATAATCAGAGGAATTGAAGTATAGCATATGAACTTCATTTTATGAGCACAACAATAAGTACATAAAAAGATCTTCGATTTTAAAGGATATTATGACAACTTCACCAATCACGTACCATGTGGATGCTTAATTTGATAAGTATAGCATGACAATTACGTTCTCATAAAATAATTTAGTATAGCATGACAACTTCACCAATCACGTATCATATTTAATTTAATAATTAAATTAAAAAATCTAATCAAACTGTAATAAAAATTAATATTAAAAGACAAATTTAATAAAATAATGTAGCATTACCCTGTTAAAATCATGAACTGACGTCACTATTAAAATTTTATTTTTATTTTAAATGAACGTAGCATCACCAAGTATAAATTAGCTTTATCCTTCTCCCAAAAAATTAGCTGTATCCTATATTCATCAATGGATGACACCTTGTCATGGTATATGTATACCAGTTGTCTCTATGTAAACTCAGCCTCGTAATTCTAGCCGTAAAAGGATTACAATGTGTTAAACCAATCTAGGCTAATTGGTTCGAACTAAATAAAAGTCAATAGGTAATAACTCTTGTTGGGTATGGGAGTTTAACTTGTGATTTTATAGTTACCAAGTCAAAGTATGACTAGTTTGGTCAAATGTTAGAAGTTGAACTTATAACTTTAGGGTCACTCGTCACACTTGTGTGAGACGAGTCGGGTCAGTATAAAATTGCAATACTTATACTGAAAAATGTAATACTTTTTAAGGACAAAAATGTAATAATACTAATTAGGAATAAAGTATATGTTAGGAGTTGAACTTATAACTTTAGGGTCACTGGTCACACTTAATTGTGTGAGACCGGTCAGGTCAATATGAAATTGTAATACTTATACGGAAAAATATAATACTTTTTTTGAAGGACAAAAAGGAAAATACTTGATGTACTCCCACTTTATACTCCCAACTTATACTCCCTCTCACATGTTCTTGATGTAGACAGTTTTCTGTGGACCCACATGTTGAAAATAACCAATCCTGGTTTGCCACCTCAGGGAGTACAAATGAGGGAGTAGAATTTGGGAGTACATGTAGTAGAACTCGGACAAAAATGTAATACTAATTAAGAATAAAGTGTATGTTATTTATAAGGGAAAATGTAATACTTTTGAGGATAAATGTAAATTTTTACATTTTGATGTAAAAATATTACATTTTTCATCAAAAGTATTACATTTCCCTTATGTTGGATATATCGTTGGTAAAACCCAATAATAATCGTACGAAAACTCGAAAAGATTATTATTTTATGGAAATTTTTGAGAAGGAAAGGACGAAGGGATATGGCTCGGGTTGGTGTAACTGGTTAACACGAGTCGAGCGAATCACTCTTTCCTTAAAACCTTATTTGCTACCTCCTACAAGTGCTAGGAGCGTTGTAGACTAGGTTTCGCAGGATAAAACGTGTTACGGTTCAACGTTTGAGCACCCAAACTTTGAACCCGGCGAACTAAAGCAAAGCTTAAAACACATTAGGTAAAGAAAGGAGTAAAGCAGAGAGTTTTGGAGCTGAAAACGTAGAGAAAATTGTTGTATCAAATTTTGCTGCTCTACCCCTTCTTATATAGGGTTGAAGGAGTTCAATAGCCTTCAATACGACATTTAAGATTGAGATAAAGCCAATTTGTGACACCTGAAACAGCAAGCCCATTATGTGAGACTTAAATTCGAATTTTAAAATTAGAATGAATAGAAAATTAATCCCGTAACTGTTGAATTTAATCTCACAACAATCTGGTTGCAGAAGGCTATTGACCTACTGCCATGGTTCGGCTGGGGCCGAACCCATGCTGGTATAGTTCGGCCTCCCCTCGAGCCGAATGTTGTTGAGTTCGGCCTCTGTTGCGTTGGAATGGAGAAAATGGAACCCATGCTGGCTTAGTTCGGCCTCCCCTCGAGCCGAATGTTGTTGAGTTCGGCCCCTATTGCGTTGGAATGGAGAAAACGAAACCCATGCTGGCTTAGTTCGGCCTCCCCTCGAGCCGAATATTGTTGAGTTCGGCCTCTATTGCGTTGGAAAAAGGCCTCTATTGCGTTGGAATGGAGAAAACGGAACCCATGCTGGCTTAGTTCGGCCTCCCCTCGAGCCGAATGTTGTTGAGTTCGGCCTCTATTGCGTTGGAAAAAATGGTCTGTTACTAAAACTAACATACAAGACAAATCTTTTCATCAGGCTCATTTTGGGATTTGATTTGTACCCCCAATGCAAGAGAGAAAACATCTATGCTATACAATTCATTAAGCTTTAGAAAGGCTCTTGTATAAATAGTGGTGCAAACCCACTTCCCAAAATAATATGGGACAAAAACTTCATTTTTCCCTTCATTTTTCCAACTCAAATGGGTCATACTTTGAGAATCAATATCTTATTCACCCATTATCCGTTTTGAGCGTACAATATGTCAATTCTTTCTTCTCACTACGAAGAACCCGAATCCACTTTGATCCGACTCAAATTGGAAGTGGACCCCACCAATAATTGTACCAAAAGTATAAGCAGCATCTCAAACAATTACTTTTTTTTTATATGTAAATATTCTTGAATTCACAGGTAAGAAAATTAAGTAAATTTCATATTTAGTCGCAGATGAATGTTGTTTTTCTTCAACATTATATATATATTTTTTTCTCATAAAGAATGCAATCCTTTTTAATTTAAACTTGTGTGGATTTTCAAAATAAAGTTGTTTTACACCAAAGTAATCTTCCGCTTCAAGTTTTCAACAAAGTGTGCAATAGCTATTTTTCTTCAAAATATGTTACATTTTTTCATAAATGATGCAACATTTTTTTTTTCCATTCAAACTTCTACAAAATTTTCAAAACGATGATATTATACCTCAAAGTGATACTATTTTTCAATAAAATGATGATGTTTTTATCAAAAACAATATTGTTTTTCTCTTAGAAAGTTTAAAATATATTTACAAAAATTTCAATTTATTTTTCAATATCTAAAATTCTAAACAAAAGAAAAATCATATTAAGAAAAAAAAGAAGAGTTTGTCAATCATCGACGCTATAAATCCTATAAATATGTGTCTAGTTTTTGTTCGTCTTCTCCATTATTCTCATCGATCAAAGCCCCATATATATGATTTTACAGTATTTTGTTTAGATATTGAAGATGTTTCCTTGAAATGACCATTTTACCCTAAAAATATAAAATTCGGTAACATTTCGCCGTCAATTTGGCTTAAAGAATCAAAACTGATAAAAATAACGAAGTTAGGCACAAAAATTTTAAAAAATAAATAAATAAAGTTGTGCGTCAAAAGTAATAGAATCTCAAAAATTGTGGGACTAAAAGTGAAATTAATTCTTTTGGGAACAACAACAACATCTAGAAGAAAAATATTAGTGGAAAAATTTAAGAAGGGAGAAAGTATTTTTCTTTAATAAATGATATTTCAATCTATCTTATTTTGAGAAATTTTTTTAAAAAGTTTCATATTTTTTAATTATTGCATTGGAAGAGTAAGGACGATGCTACTATAAAGTAGTTAAACATAAAAATTGTGTATAACCAACTCTATTTATAGGCATATAATTGTCATCTCATTTGCCATAGACGTCGTCGTTCATACTCCATAAGACCATAACCATGGAAAAGGATAATAATGAGTTTAAGCTACATATTGGCATTCTTTCAAGCCCCGGAATAGGCCACATAATCCCGGTTCTTGTCCTAGGCAAGCGCCTCGTCGCGGTCCACAACGTCAAAGTCACCGTCTTCGTCGTCACCACCGCCGGTTCACCCACCGAAGCGCAGCTCATCAAGTCCTCGGACATGGCGGAAAACCACCTCAACATCGTCGAAATACCGCCGGTTGATATCTCCGCCTTCCTCGACGACAACACCAAGATGGTCACCCAGCTCTGCCTGCTCGTGCGCGCGGCTTTGCCCGGCGTGCGCTCCGCCTTACGGGGCGTGAACCGCCGCCTAGATGCCCTGATCGTCGACCTGTTTTGCACGGAAGCCCTGCCGGTCGCCGATGAGCTTAACTTGCCCAAATTTGTCTACGTTCCGAGTAATGCTTGGTTCGTCGCCTTGACGGTTTACTGTCCGGTCCTGGACCGGGAAATCGCGGGTCAGTATGTTGACTGGGAAAAGCCGTTGGGAATTCCGGGTTGTAAGCCGGTTCGACCGGAGGACGTGGTTGACCCCATGTTGGACCGGAATGATCAGCAGTACCGGGAGTACCTAGGGCAAGGGCGTGGGTTCACCATGTCGGATGGGATCTTGATGAATACTTGGGAAGATGTTGACCCGGGCTCACTCAAAGCGCTTAGAGAAAATGAAACGCTAAGGAAAGTCGTGAGCGGACCGGTTTACGCGGTCGGTCCGCTGACGAGAGACATGGAAGAAAGAGATGGTTTTGATGGGACGATAATGCAATGGTTAGACAAGCAACCTCGTGAGTCCGTCCTGTACGTGTCGTTTGGGAGCGGTGGAACGTTATCGGCCGAGCAAATAACCGAGTTAGCTTGGGGATTAGAACTGAGCGAGCAAAGATTCATTTGGGTGGTTCGACCACCTTCACAATGTGGCTCTGACAAGTCCTTCTTCACAATCGGACAAGGAGCTGACGGTACGCCGGATTATTTGCCGGAAGGGTTTTTGACTCGAACTCACAACCAAGGGTTGGTAGTGTCCATGTGGGCTGAACAGGCACTGATTTTAAGACATCCGTCAACGGGAGGGTTCTTGAGTCATTGCGGATGGAACTCGACACTGGAGAGCATCACAAACGGAGTGCCAATGATCGCGTGGCCGTTGTACGCAGAACAAAGGCAAAATGCCACCATGCTAACGGAGGAGCTGGGGGTTGCAATTCGGCCGGCGAAATTGCCGACTAAGGAAGTAGTTGCAAGGGAAGAGGTGAAAACATTGGTGAAAACGATGGTGCAGTACAAGGAAGGGAAGGAGTTGAGGAAAAGGGTTCAGAAACTAAGGATTAGTGCAGAGAAGGCTTTAAGCACTGAAGGCTCATCTTACAATTCCATGTGTGTGGCTTTGAATATGATTCAGAAAAGGAGGGATTTGAAATTGCACATAGATGCATGAAACGGGTCAAACTCATAACTTTTTTATATGAAAATTATGTTTTACCTACTGGTTCATATATTTAATGTTTTTAATTATATGAATTGGGTCCGATATATATGCCAGGCCAATTTGTCCAATATATATATATGGCCTTCTTCCCATCCCTAAGCTAGCCAACCCCCAATTCTCATCAATAGACTTTCTAGGTTTAAATTTCTAAAAGTAACTCAAGTGAGCTTGAATTTTGAAATGAATATGTTTCACTCTTCTTTTGAAAAGATGAATTTAACTCAAAGATTAAGTGTGCTACGGAAGACTTAATAAAACTGCGTAAAACAATTTGCAAAAGTTTGTTTAGAAATGTTTGTGTGTACGTGTGGGGTAAGCTCAAACAGACAAGTAATTAAAAGATAAAGAGTATAGGGATACTGAGATTGAGACAAGATTATATATATATATAGTGGTTCAAGAAATCTCCCTACTCCACTCTTCTATTCGACACAGGAGGGATTTCATTAGTATTACTATTACAAAAATGTTCATAAAAATATGTCTTTTCGCTATACTTCTTAAGTGTAGTATAGTTGGGTGTCCATCTTAGTAGTCTTGGCTATTTCACTATTTCGAGGATGTTGAGGTGAGGGCTTGTGATGTCGTTCTTCGAGGATTTCAGGAGTTGCGTTTCAGTTGGTGAATCGGCGGTGGTGATAACGAAGACGGTGACTTTGACGTTGTGGACACCGGCGAGGGGATTGCCCAGTACAAGAGCTGGGATTAGGTGACGGGTGACCTATGCCGGGGCTTGAAAGGATGCCAATATGTAGCTTAGATTGATTATTGTTATCCATGGTCATGGCGTCTATGGCAACTGAGATAGATGAGCAATATATGGCACTATATGTAGAGGACTTAATGTCATATGACGTAAGAGCTCTTTCCAGTATGATAGTTTTGTCAGTTCTAAATTTTTAAATTGATTATTTATGGTCATTCAATTTTCAAATTGTTACAATCTGTGATTGAAGTTAACCACACATTGTGCTTCAACTTTTAAAATTTAATCAGCACTGAAAAGGATCATGGTGTGTTAAAATTTGATAGTTGAAAGACTATGGGTAGTTAACTTGAACTATAAATGATAACAATTTAAAAGTTGAAGGACCTCAAATGATTAATTTAAAAATTTAGGACTAAATGTGACAAAATTACTATATTTTGAGTACATCACATGATATCTTTGTTGGAATTTTTAGCTAAAAATGGCATTTTGAGTGATTATTTTATAGTACAAATATATGTGGGGTCCACTTTCGATTTGGGTCGGGTCAAAGTGGATTCGGGTTCTTCGTAGTGAGACGAAGAATTTGATATAATGTACGCTCAAAATGGATAATAGGTGATTGAGAAATTGATTCTCAAAGTGAACCTATTTGAAAGAAGTCAACAACTTAAACCTATTGTTTAGTGGCTAATTAAGATTAGCACTAATCTTGATGCTAATTACTTAGCATTCACGAAAGAATGCTTGTAATTAAGCTTTGGAAAAAGGTTAAGTTGCAATTAAGCTTTTGAAAGCTTGATTAGTGAATTGGGAAATGAACTTTCGTGCTATGCTTTGTGCATGGACGAAAGTTGTGCATGAATTGAGCTTGAGCTTTGGATTCCAAAGTAGCTCATTTCGTGCTGTGGATTCGGTGTGCACGAATCAAATGCTATATGCATTGATTCGTGCTGCACCGTTTCGGTGCTTGCGGACCACTCGGGTGTGGTTTCCGGTCTCAATTCGTTAAACCTTCGGGTTTGTACGGACTTTTCGGTCACTCAGATATTTTGAAACTGGTCGTTATGGTCGGTACGAATTAATCGCGTATTAAGTTCGTGACCGTTGATATTATTTCGATAATAAGTACGACCGTTTTGAACGTTATAATTCAATTATAAAATTGAATTTATGTTGGATTAATGTGCCATTATAAGCTTTTAACTCCACTCTTCCTACAAATACATGATGTTGGCAAATTGATGTTTTCACTCCGTTTGAGAAATCAAAAGCCTTATTTTCACTTCTCTCTATGCTCATCCTTTGTTTCAAAGAGAAAAGTTTCTGCCAACATCTTCCGTAAAACATCGGAGTGCTCAACTTGTGTTCTAGTTCGCCGGGCTTTGGGTTGGAGTGCTCGAACGCCAAAGTCGTAGTCCGTTTTATCCCGGGATACTGACGCCACAACGGTCCTAGCACCCTCGGGAGGTGGCGAATCGGTTTTAAGGAGAGTGTGTGTACACACGACTCGGGCTTCCTCTGCTACTTCTTTCTTCTCGTTGGGTTAAAACCTCAGGTTAGAAACCCGTATCTTGTTTATTTTTTGTTCTTGGTTTCGGACCAAGTGGTGGGATTAATCTCGGATAGATTAAATCCTTGTACTAGTTTCGTACTAGTTGTGGTGGGATTATTTTTGATAAAATAAATCCCTATTTGGTTAATATATATATATTGTATATATATATATATGAAATTTTGGTTTCGTACCAAAATTGGTTGGAATTAATTTTTTATAAATTAATTTTTTTTTCGGGACAAATATATATTTTATATATATATATTTTGTGTATCGATTTATTCACCAATTTCCAACAATCTTTATCTTTATCTTCTTTATATATATAATAAAGCAGAATCGATCTAGCCACAAAATTTTCCCTCCAAAGTGTGAATGCATTTTGATAGAAACAAGATTAGCAAGTATATATGAATGCATTAATTGTGTGGGTACTGGATAAATGTATTTATACTTTTTTTTATTGAAGTTATTATGTGTACTTATATTTTACAAATTATATTTTATTATCTCTCTCTCTCTCTTTATATATATATATATATATATATATATATATATATATATATATATATATATATATATATATATATTAAAGCATAATGAAGTATAGAAAAAAGTTTATTGTGTTCAAATTTATTGATAAAGTTTTATATTTAATATTTTTTTTGAATGCTACTAGCTCTATTACAATGTAGTATCTATTCATTGTTCATATACTTTCTCAACCTACTGAAACACAAAGAGCCAATAACGTCTCCATTGAGGCTTGAACTCACAACCTTCAAAATAAAAGTCCAACCTAGGAACCATTAGACCACATAATCCTAGTAATTTTATGTTTAATATAATTTGTATATATATTCATTTAAACCTCAATTATAATTAATTTGACTCTACATATATAAAGAGGAGAAATTAGATATAAAATAAATATAGTTCTTACATAAATAATCTTTTTCAAATTAATAAGTTTTTTGTGGAGATTTTCGACCAATATCGCCTGTTATTTTATTTACAAGTGTTATTTAAATACGTTAGATATATAATTAAAGTAGTTATTTAACTATTTTAAATTCAAATTCCTTTCAAAAAACAATTCAAATAATAATACAAGTAACAATAAACTTTAAAATCAACATAATAATATCATAATTAAACTTTTTAAAATATTCAATATTAAATTATATAGTTATACTTACATTTTTAATCAAACTAATTCTGAGCTCAAGAACTCAAGTACTTTTTTTTTTTTTTTTACAATCATTACTTTATTCGCTAATTCAGAAGATGTAAAAAATTTAATTGGTAAATTTGTTAAATTAATAATAGTTTATGCATCACACGGGACAATTACTTCTCCCAAGGCTGAATTCTCAACTCAACACGGGACAAGTACTAGTTAACTTATACGTAGAGTTGAATTTACGTTTTATGTGTTGACTATTGCAATTTTTTACTAACATCAGTATTATTAACATATTACAACCATGCCTCTTGACGTGATTCTCGAAAGGTCAACTTTCCGGATCTAGATTTGTACCCTAATTTTATATCCATGTTTGGGGCAATGTATAGTATATCATGGAACAAGGTAACCTTGTATGCATGGTAGAGTTTAATCTAAAATAATGTTGTTTTATATTAAGTGTATTGTTAACTAATACATTATATTTAATAATTTTCATAATTTATTATTGTTGATTTTATGACTTTTGATCCGTTATGGCAAGTCAACATAAGTGGTTGAATGATGAGATAAAATATAAATAATTGAGAGAACTATAAATGAGAATAATATTTTTAATGTAAAAAATGAAAGGTAAAAATTACAGATCTTTTTTCTACGATGCCAAGCTAGAATCTGTTATCTTCACAGTAACTTTAGTACATGTACAATTTGTATATGGAGTTATCCGACTTGGAATATTTTAGGGAATTTTAGGATGAAGAGAGGCTTAGCTTTATTGTGTTGGTAGAGTGATTGAGCCAGGTGCATGTTGGGATATCGCCTAGGGTTGATTTATAAATTTATAATTTTATAATAAACATTCTTCCAAAGGCTGAACCCTAATCTTAAGGGACCCCACACCTCGACCCGACAGAGCATTTGGAAAGATGTAAATCATGGTAACTCAACTGAATATGAACCACATAGGCTAGACCGGTGCTCATTGCGCACAAGGAACCCCCCTCACTTTGAGAGGTTGCTCCCACACTGCCTCTGGTGAAATTTTATAATAAACATAAATGAATTGCATACGTAAATGAACATACGTAAAAATTACAAGCTTTTATTTCCAAACTTATAATTAAAATAAAAACACAATTATTAATTCCTTAAAAAAACAAAAAAACAAAAAAACAAAAAAAAAAAAAACAATTTGTTAGTTTTTGGGTTTTTGGGCCCAGGAAAGTCCAACACAACCTTGATCGATGGATTCACCTTTCAATAAAGGTAGAAAAATAGAAATGAGTGAATGAAAGTAGCAGAAGTGTTCTTCTATTCTCTGGGCATGGACTCACCTGTTTTACATCTTTGGAGGGCCTTTATATAGTAGACCCTCCTTTAATTCGGTTTTAAAGTACATTAAGGGGTCGTGAATGCTAATTACATCGCAAGGCCGTTGGGCTGCCGTTACTGGGCCTCCCAACGGCTCCTTGGCTGGGCTCTTCAATGCCCTCTTTAATATCTTCCAACAACTCTCTGCGGCAAATTATGCCCTGGACCCAAAACGATGTCGTTTTTCAAAAAAAAAAAAAAAAAACGCGTCATTAGTTATTAAAAAAAAAAAAAAAAAAAAAAATCGCGCGTGTTTTGTCGTTAACAGCGTTATTTTTTTTTTATTTTTTTTTTTTTGGATTATGAATGTACAGTTATGCCGTTATGAATGTACAGTTATGCAATTATGAAATTATGAACACAGAGCTCTAACATTATGAACTTACAATTATGAACATATAGTGATAAAATTATGACCATGGAGCTTTAAAATTGTGAATATAGAGCTTCGAAGATTATGGATGTACAGTTATGGAGTTATGAATGTACAGTTATGGAGTTATAATCTACAGTTATGGATTTATGAATCTACAGTTATGAGATTATGAATCTACAGTTATGAGATTATGAATCTACAGTTATGGAATTATGAATGTACAGTTATTGATCGAATTATGAACAAAGAGCTCTGACATTATGAACTTACAATTATGAACATATAGTGATAAAATTATGAACATAGAGCTCTAAAATTGTGAACATAGAGCTTCGAAAATTATGAATGTACAATTATGGAGTTATGAATGTACAGTTATGGATGTACAGTTATAGAGTTATAAACGTACAGTTATGGAGTTATGAATGTACAGTTATTAACATATAGTAATACAATTATGAACATATACTCTTATAACGAAGCGGTCTGAACACGGGTCTAGAGCATAACGATTGACTCTCTGCCCTCTTGGCCGAGTCCTCGTCCCGACCTCGGGGTCGGCCCGACTTCCGGACTCGGTCCGAGTCTCTTTCGAGCCTTCTTACTTCTCCACTCCTTGGGCCGTATTTCATTTTTCTTTGGGCTTCTCCATTCTTTTGGACCTTCTCTATCCTTTTTTGGGCCCCATCATCACAATTATTAACAAAATAATAATAATAATAATAATAATAATAATAATAATAATAATAATAATAATAATAATAATAATGTGTGTTGTGCCGTTGCAATTGCAACGGCACAGCATGGGCCGAAGCAACGGTCAAAGGCCAAATAAATACAATTGGCGGCCACTCTCAAACACCTATTTATTTATTTTTTTAAAATTTTCTGACATGTTTCTTTGAATTGTAGGAGGAAAATGTTGTGAAGATTTTGCTTTCCCATTTGTCAAAGTCTACCCCAAGGAGATTTTACTATTATATTATAAAATATGGTGAAGATCTCCTTATTAGGGATACCCTTAGGATCGAGTAGATGATTATATTCCATGTCCTTCTTGTCTCTAATTAATGGCGTCTTTTATAGAGGAAAAATAGTAGTATTACATATGATAATTTTATTTTATTTTCTTTGGGAAGGGGGAGGGGAGAACGTAACCCAGCTAAACAAGTGTACGTCTAGCTCCTTAGCACCTATGTTGAGAGCTATCTTCACTTTGTCCACCTCAAACTGTCCCATGATCTCCAAGGGGAGAGTCATAAATTCGATCCAGCTACAATTCTTTCGCAGGTAAAATGACTAAAATGTGAAGATAGAAGCATATATTTTTCAAAATGTGACTTTGCTAAAAGTTGGACAAAAATATGAAAAGCACATTTGGGAGATGCGTTTGATGTCAGAATTGGTCAAATAAAAAACGCAAGTCCCACTTGCGTTTTGTTTGTTTGTTTGTTTTTTCTTTTTTTTCTTTAATGGTCGCCAGCAACGAGCAACACCCAGCCCTTGATTCATGGTGCTCTCCGGCAATTCAAGAAGAGCTACAAAGCTTCTGATGAAAATCCTTTTTTCCAGATATTCCAATCTGTCTATGTGCATCAAATCCAAATGCTCCAGAAGTTGCAGTTGATAAAGGGGCTTCTCCGTGGCAACACCGGTCACCGGTTTCTCCAGCGAGAAGGCCACTGGTTGCAAATTTGACACCAAATACTACCAAATAAATGTAAAAGCAATAAATAACATGAAAGGGAAAGGGAAAGGATCACAAGCATGACAATGAAACAAAGGAGGAGACCATGGTCTTTCCTGTGGCCCTTTGGTTCGTCTCGCTCTGATGCACGCCATACTGCAGTTGCAGTGCCTGAAACCAACATAGATAGCAGCCAGGAATATAGTCATTATAGCCAGTACATTATTCATTTCTCTCGGGACGTGACTAATCTTCACCTCTCAATCCTTGTTAATCCACTACTTGCATTCTTTTACGATATTCTCACATGGACCAGTGGTCTGAGTGCCCATGTTAATCCAGTCTACCACATCCTGTGAGTCACAGTAGAACTGCACCTTCTTCTTGCCAGTGTCCCAAACCCATTTAATTCCAAGGTATAGTACGTGCCCACGCTTCACCCTCCATCACAGTGGTAGAGTGGGATATTTTGAAATGTAGAGGTGATTTAGGAAATATAAAGATATCTTTATCTTTATATATAATAAAGCAAAATCGAGCCACAAAATTTTTTCTCTAAAATGTTGATGCATTTTGATAGAAACAAGATTAGCAAGTATGAATGCATTAATTGTGTGAGTAGATGTATTTATACATATTTTTTTGAAGTTATTATGTGTATTTATATTTTATAAATTATATTTTATTATATATATATATATATATATATATATATATATATATATATATATATATATATATATATTAAAGCATAATGAAGTATGGAAAAAAGTTTATTGTGTTCAAATTTATTGGTAAAGTTTTATATTTAATATAATTTGTGTATATATTCATTTAAACTTCAATTATAATTAATTTGACTCCACATATATAAAGAGGAGAAATTAGATATAAAATAAATATAGTTCTTACATAATAATCATTTTCAAATGTATAAGTTTTTGGTAGAGATTTTCAACAAATATTGTCTGTTATTTTATTTACAAGTTTTATTTTAGTTATATAATTAAAGTAGTTATTTCAAATTCAAATAATAATACAAGTAATAATAAACTTTAAAATCAACATAGTAATAGCATAATTAAACTTTTAAAAATATTAAATATTACATTGTATAGTTATACTTACATTTTTAATCAAACTAATTCTGAGTTCAAGAACTCAAGTACGTTTTTCTGTTTCTGCAACCATTACTTTCTTTGCTAATTCAGAGGATATCAAAAATTTAATTGGTAAATTTGTTAGATTAATAATAGTTTGTGCATCGCATGGCAGAATTACTAGTTTAAGTAGTGGGAGATGATTTAGGGAAGGAAAGAATATTTAAGAAAGTAGAATTAATATATGTTACTTAATTGTTCTTCCATAATTGCAAGATTGCCATAATTGCCTTTCTTCAATATACTTGATTGCCGACGACATAAATATTTCTCCATAACTTTGACTAGGCCGCCATCCATACTTGGGCCTTTACGCCTTTTGGGCTTTTAATGAGAACTTGTAGAGCCCGAGTAGTACTCTTGGGCCAATCCCCGGTAACGACGCCAATTTTTTGATGTAGCTATCGTGAGTTTGGGTGTTTTGTCGTTCTCTCAAGATTGAGGGTTATGGCAAGTAATATGAAATCTAGGGCTCTCAAGAGCTAATAGGCTCTTCTAGAGCTCTCATGAATTGACAGCCTCTAGACCCTTCCATCACAAGCAACTAGGCACTAGCACTAAACTAGAAATACACAAGAAGCTAAGCAAAAAACAAGTATGGCAACAATAATTAAACAAGATAGCATAGACACATATAAACAAATTAAAAGATCAACACGAAATTAAGAAATAGAACTTAAGCTAGGGAACATTATATTTTAGATGCATAACAAAACCAAAGGACTGAGGAAAAATCACACAACCAAGGATTTGGGAGGACACACGTAGAAATCCTACTCTATAAGCCACTCTCGTGATAAATAAACAAGGATTAGAAATTTAGAACAAGGAATTGTCACACTCTGGTGATGTATCAATTTCAAGTTTTTAAAAAACACAAAGCATCAAGAGCCCCCAATTTTCCCTACTTTCATTGAAAGAAATCAAATTTATGCAAGGAGTGGATTGGAATCTTGACCCAACTCTTGTTGTAGCCAAAACTCCTCGGGATGCTTTGTGTTTTTTAAAATACTCAATCTTTAAATCTTCACTAAATAAAGTGATGATAAAGTGGAAAATAAATTTTTCAAAAAGTTTTGTTGACTCAAATAAATATGTGAGATTACATATGGCAAAAATTAAATAAAGTGATGATAAAGTAGATGAGACATAATTACTCCGCATAATATATATATTTTGTGGTTGGAATGTAACACTTTTGCCCCACTCAAATAGATATTTTAATAATATTGATGTTAGTAAAAATAAATAAATGCAATAATAAACTCAATCTATAGCGACATATAGTGCTCATCTCTATCAATTGCCACACACGTCGTTTTACGTACTCCATGATCATGGATAGCGATAATCAGTCTATGCTACACATCGCCATCCTTTCAAGCCCCGGCATAGGTCACATAATCCCATCTCTTGTGCTGGGCAATCGCCTCGCCGGCGTTCACAATGTCAAAGTCACCGTCTTCGTTATCACCACCGCCCATTCACCGACTGAAAGGCAACTGCTCGAGTCCTCTGACTTGACAAGCCGCCTTGACATCGTCGGAATACCGCCGGTTGACATCTCCGCCTTGCTCGACGCCAACACCAAGCCGCTCGTCCAACTTTGCCTGCTTGTACGCGCAGCTTTGCCGGGTGTACGCTCCGCCTTAATGAAGCAATGTCGCCGCCTCGACGCCCTCGTCGTCGACTTTTTCTGCACGGAGGCTCTGCCCATGGCGGATGAGCTTAACTTGCCAAAGTTTGTTTATGTTCCGACCAATGCGCGGTTCACGGCCTTGGCGGTTTACTGTCCGGTTCTGGACAGGGAAATCGTGGGTCAGTACGTTGAACAAGAAAAGGGATTGGAAATCCCGGGTTGTAAGCCGGTCCGACCGGAAGACGTGGTTGACCCGATGTTGGACCGGAATGATGAGCAGTACCGTGAGTACCTAAGGCTATGTGTAGGGTTCGGCATGGCAGATGGGATCTTGATGAATACTTGGGAAGATGTCGACCCGGTCTCACTCAAAGCTCTTAAGGAGAATGAAACCCTAAGCAAAGTTGTGGGAAAACCGATTTATGCCATCGGTCCGCTGACAAGAAACATTGAAGAAAGAGATGGTGATGATGATGGGATGATAATGCAATGGTTAGACAAGCAACCTCGGGAGTCCGTCTTGTACGTGTCGTTCGGAAGCGGTGGGACGTTATCTGCCGAGCAGATAACCGAGTTAGCTTGGGGACTAGAACTGAGCGAGCAAAGATTCATCTGGGTGGTCCGACCACCATCGATGCGCAGCTCAGACGAAGCATTTTTCACTACGGGACAAGGAGCCGACGGCACGCCAAATTACTTGCCAGAGGGGTTTAACACTCGAACCCAAAACCAAGGGTTGGTGGTGCCCGTGTGGGCCGAACAGACACTGATTCTAAGACATCCATCAACCGGAGGGTTCTTAAGTCATTGCGGGTGGAACTCGACCCTCGAGAGTATCAAAAACGGGGTGCCAATCATCGCGTGGCCCTTGTACGCGGAGCAAAGGCAAAATGCCACCTTGCTCACGGAGGAGCTAGGGGTTGCAATTCGGCCTAAGAAGTTGCCAACAAAGGGAATAGTCTCAAGGGAAGAGGTCAAGACATTGGTGAAAACAATGTTGCAGTCCAAGAAAGGAAAGGAGATGAGGGAAAGGGTAGTGAAGCTAAAGATGAGTTCAGAGAAGGCTATAAGCATTGGAGGCTCATCCTACAATTCCATGTGTGAGGTTCTGAATGCGATAGAGAAGAGGAGAGATTTGAAACTTTGAACACGAGTTTAATATAAGTATATTGCTGAATGCAGATCGTTAATTATGTATTGGAATATCTATAATTGCATGTCATCAATAAATTCCTCGTGCTTTTTTTTTTGTGTGTTTTGGACCTTATTAGCTTGCTTAGATTAGAAGATTTCGATTCAAAAAAAAAAAAAAAAAAAAAAAAAATTGGAGGATTTAAAAGCAAGAAATATTAGTAAAATAAACTTTATTTTAGCACTACACAAGAACAACGGCAAATTGACAATCTAATTATTACTCCCTCAACCATGGTTCACCTGCTAAGTAGACCATGGTTTACAAATCATTGATATAAAATATATTTTACTCCGTAGGTCCTGTTTGGTAAAATGGCTGTTAGCTGTTAGCTGATTGTGTTAATTAGAGGGTATAAATAATTGATAACATTAGCTTATTGTAGAAAAATGTTTGGTAAATTAGTTGTTAGCTGATAGCTATTTGGTATAATTTTTTTTTTCTCAAAAAGCTAATTGAAAAAGTTGCTTGGACTGCTTTTTGAATTTTAGCCTTTTGAAATTGCAAAAAGCTAATTAACCAAACATTTATATTGATATTTTAACTAAATCAAACAATTAATAGTGGTCAAATAAGCCAAAATTTGCCTATAGGCTAATGTTTTACCAAACATGGCCTAAATGTTTTTTGAGGTACATTATTTAATTATTGAATTTTTCATTATTTCCACACGTACCAACCATATGAAGAAGGAAGTGGAAAACGGTTTGAAGGGTACAATATACCTGTGTGGATGAAGAAAAGAGATAATTACTTTCGACAAGTCCATCAGACTCAAAGAAACGAAGAAATCAAGAAAGCAAACCGAGAACTTTGGAACAAACAAGAAGAAGCGAGACTAGCAAGAGAGAAGGAACTGGTTGAAAGAGAACGAATCAAAGAAGCAATAAAGGATGTCACGAAAGTCAAGAAAAATGCTGAGGTTGGAGTCAAATATAATGCTACCTTCAAAATTCACAAGGAATCTGGAAAAAGCTATACCGAAGGAATGCACTCATTTGAACTCATAACATGGTGGAATCTCGCTTAATTGAAGGAGAAAACATCCTCGAAGCATACAACAATTACGTGAGCAGCAACATCAAATGTGAATATGAAGACATTGTCAGAGAAAGCTCAATTCAAAAGTACAGAGAGCATATCAACCGAGACATCGACATGAAGAGGATGCTCAAGAAACAAAAAGAGAGAGATGACAAAGAAAGAGAAGAAGCTCAGATTCAGAAGGCGAAACTTTTAGATATGTAAAGGCTTCTTTCCCTCAACACCAGTAACAATATTTGTAAGTGTTTTTTATCTCTATAAAAGTCACTTTTATCTCAATCCGTCTTGTCTTTATCTCAGTTATCCGCTTTGAATACTTGTATTGTCTTACATTCTTCTAGAACTCATATTTATACTCTTCTAATTGGCTGTTTTGAAATGAAAAATCCTTTATGGGACAATTATCAGCCTAATAAGGAGAGTATATGTTTTGTCATCATCAAAAAGGGGGAAATTGTTAGGAACATATGTATTAGGATTTTGATGATACCAATGTAACTTAGAAGTAGACCCCTAACTTTTTGTCACTTGTCTTGTTACCTTCGTTCTAGACGAAAGGTACCTTAACTCATCATGTAATTCGTGTTAAGCTAGACAAACACACGAAACCGAGTTAAGTTTATTTTTTAGTTAGGTCTCTCTTAACGAAAGAAGAGCAGTTTGATGAAGCACATTCTCATCTCAACTGGACAACGAAAGTTGAGATGATCTTCTACTACAGAAAGCAGAAGCCGAAAGAAGTCCTCTGATCTAGAGACCTTTATGACTGTCAAGACAACTTATCTTCTCTCTACTCAAGAAGAATGTTGTCAAATGTCTCATCTGAAGATCATCCTAGGAATAAACTCTCCTAAGAATGAGAGCACACTTATCAAGGTGCATTAAATGCCACAGTACTACTTTTCGGAGCTAGAAGACAAAATAAGCAAAAGTGCTTATCTCCAACGTCTATATAGTGCAACTGCATTTAATGAAGCAATAAATGCACAAGGCTCTCCGGTTATTAACCACTGGATCATAGGTTTGAAATATCATCTCCCTCCAAAGGATGGATTTCTTCTCACCTATAAATACCCATCTTCTCCACATTTGAAGGTGCTGGTTTTTAGAACAATTGAATTCATTCTCTCAAAAGCTCCTTATACAAGTTCACTCTCTCAAGCTTTTGAAATCCAGTAATTCAAGGTGTGAAATTTGAAGAAGACGCATTTAAATTCATTCACACATCCTTGAAGAAGTCTTGCAACTTTGTACACGCTGATTATCCATCTAGCCACCAGCCAGTCAAGACTTCAACGTGTTGGAGAAACTCAAAGATTATTCAATCCAACCCTCAACTCTGAAGAAGAAGTTGATAGAGGCGGAGTAAACTCGAGGAGTTGAAAAACCTTCAAGTAGCTGTCTGGCTTAGTGATCAAGGAAGCTATCTTGGTGTAATTTGTACTAGGAGTGATAGTGCAAACCTTTCACGAGTTGTGAAAGAAGAGTGGAGTAGGCACAGTTGGCCGAACCACTATAAAAACTCTCTTGCCTTTGTCTCTTTACATTTCAGCATTTTACTTTCGTGCATCGCATTTCATTAGCCCTAACCGAAAGTTCCTCATAAGATCAAACAGTGCAAAGAAATTTAAAACTTACCTATATATCCGCTGCGTAATAACCCCGAAAGGAGTTATTATTCGAGAAAAACGAATTGAGTCTATTCACCCCCCCCCCCCCTCACACCCCCCCTCTAGACTCTCCTTTCGATCCTACCGGGACCAACGCTACTCAATGATGATGAATTTTGTCTAATTGATGAAATGAATAAAATAATGATCATTTTGAACACTATTATGACACTTCATAAGCAAAATAAAGCTAAATATGAAGTGGATATGGGATACAAATATATATGTCGCCCATGACCAGCAAACTCAGTTTTTACGAAAGTCAGTTACATAATAAGAATTATTACCTGTAATTCTACTTATGGATTCTCATTGTACAATGCTAAAGTCTCCTAATACAAGAGATCTTATGGATCAGTTGCATACTAAATTCTATTGAATAAATATCCTCTCTTAAGGTTTAAAATGGGTCCTAAATTTCCATAATAAAATCCATTTTTTCGCAACATTATTCTCTAAAATCTTATTATTTTAATGATTGTGTTGAATAGCTGTTGACTATCCAAAACTCAAAACCAACAGTTTTCAAACCTTAAAAATAAAAAAATAAAAATAAAAATAAAAAAGTAAGTTAAGCTTTCAACACATCCAAAATGCAATGTTGACTACTTAATTAAATAGTGAAGATTTAAAGATTGTGAGGAAAAAAAAAAGTTAAGCTTTCAATACATCCAAAATGTAATGTTGACTATTTAATTAAATAGCGAAGATTTAAAGATTGTGAGAGTACATATGCATAAATTAAAGTGATGATAAAAGCAAAACATAAATATTTGGGAAAATTGTAATTTATGTCCCTCACAAATATATCAGTTATCAATGTCGTTCATGAATTATCAGTGGTGTAAATGTTGTCCCTCAATTTTCAAAACGTGACATATATTGCCTCTCCCCTAATATGAAGAAGGAGAAATATTGTTGTCGACGGAAGGAGAACAATCAAACAAAGAAAAATTGAAGAAAAAACGTGGTCTTCGAATAAGAAAGACAACGAGTAACCACATTTACATCACTAATAATTCAAGGAAGAACCAATATATGTCACATTTTGAAAATTGAGGGATAACATTTATACCACTAATAATTCAGAGTAACATTGATAATTGACATATTTGTAAGGACATAAATTACAATTTTTCTTAAATATTCTTTTATTGGTTGGAATGTAACACTTCTGCCCCACTCAAATAGATATTTTAATAATATTGATGTTAGTAAAAATAAATGCAATAGTCAAAACAAAAATTAGAATCAACTCTTATCCATAGGCCATAGCGATATATAGTCCTCATCTCTATCAATTGCCAACACGTCGCTTTACATACTCCATAATAATGGATAACAATAATCAGTCTATGCTACACATTGGCATCCTTTCAAGCCCCGGCATAGGCCACATTATCCCATCTCTTCTACTGGCCAATCGCCTCGCCGGCGTCCACAATGTCAAACTCACCGTCTTCGTTATCACCACCGCCGATTCACCAACGGAAAGGCAACTGCTCGAGTCCTCGGACTTGACAAGCCGCCTTAACAACGTCGGAATACCGCCGGTTGACATCTCTGCCTTGCTCGACGCCAACACCAAGCCGGTCGCCCAGCTTTGCCTGCTTGTACGCGCTGCTTTGCCGGGTGTACGCGCCGCCTTAACGAAGCAATGCCGCCGCCTCGACGCCCTCGTCGTCGACTTTTTCTGCACGGAGGCTCTGCCCATGGCGGATGAGCTTAACTTGCCAAAGTTTGTTTATGTTCCGACCAATGCGCGGTTCACGGCCTTGACGGTTTACTGTCCTGTTCTGGACAGGGAAATCGTGGGTCAGTATGTTGAACAAGAAAAGGGATTGGAAATCCCGGGTTGTAAGCCGGTCCGACCGGAAGACGTGGTTGACCCGATGTTGGACCGGAATGATGTGCAGTACCGTGAGTACCTACGGCTAGGTGTAGGGTTCGGCATGGCAGATGGGATCTTGATGAATACTTGGGAAGATATCGACCCGGTCACACTCAAAGCTCTTAGAGAGAATGAACCCCTAAGCAAAGTTGTCGGAAAACCGGTTTATGCCATTGGTCCGCTGACAAGAAACATTGAAGAAAGAGATGGTGATGATGGGACAATGATAATGCAATGGTTACACAAGCAACCTCGGGAGTCCGTCTTGTATGTGTCGTTTGGAAGCGGTGGAACGTTATCGGCCGAGCAGATAACCGAGTTAGCTTGGGGACTGGAACTGAGCGAGCAAAGATTCATCTGGGTGGTCCGACCGCCATCGATGCGTGGCTCAGACGACGCATTTTTCACTACGGGACAAGGAGCCGACGGCACGCCAAATTACTTGCCGGAAGG